CAAATCCACTGCGACATGAACACACCATACACCAGCTATCTGCAACAAGTCTTTAGTTAATGACACCGATCATTTCTCACTATGTAAAATAGTTCAGGTGATTACATAAAGCTCGTGATAAGTAATACAAAGGTCAATCTTACCGAAAACAACCTGTGTAAAAAGTTAAATGACACATCAAAAACCTTCAACAATGTCGTTTCAACTCCAAGTTTCACTGATATGTACATGTACACTTATGATCCGTCTTGAAAGTATGCATTAAATAAACTGAAATACAGACCATTGTCTAATTTGATTTTCCAAAAACTTCCATTTCTGTCCCTACGCTTGATAAAGACTAGGGTTATATGTTCCTGCTACTAGTGTACCCAGTGTGACACCAGAGGTCAGTGAAACAGTGATGTTGCTATAAGAAAGGTTAAATCAATTTGTTATTAGCAATATCTATGATACATTGTTACATTTGATCAAGGTAAACATAAGTTGTTTTATCCACTACCCAGCTAAAGATATATATTTTCAAGCAGATATATTTGACCTTATCCAGACTAACCTATGAATAAGGTCACGTAATATATCGTATATACTACTAAAATAGTTACGATGTCGTGTTTGCAGAAAATGCACTAAAACATCCTAATAGTTTTTGGGGAAAACACTGTTCAAAGTAATTCTTGAAACTGGGTTTACCACATAACTTTAGGATTACTGCTCTAAGCATAATTTTGCAAGATCCTGTAAATTGATCAATATTTCCAAATGCAATACCCCTACTAGGATCTAACCCGTGATTTCTGGCTCACTAGTCTGACGTTGATTGTCCCTAGTTGTGTGTCCAACACCCTGTCTCCGGCCCACACATAACAATACATGTAACGACAGCTCGTGACGATATGATAGCATGTATCTATATCCGTGTTGGGACAATGCTTTTCAAGTATCTTTGTATTTATCTATCACTTCATCTCCTTAAAACAAGAGGTCCTCACTCCATCTGAAAATACAATTTCTAGAGCTTTCTTCCTGATGGCGGCAAACATTAATTGTATGCCAAAACGTGCATAAAAGGAAGACCTTGGCAATGTGACAGTGTAAACGCGTTTTATATATTGAACGATGTGGTCATTACCAAGAATTAAAAAAAATATCTTATGGTAAGATTTCATTTAATCAGAACAGTCACGAAGAGGTCAGTTTAATTCTGATTAAAGATTTCAGACTTACTGTTCCCTTCATTATCATTATAGAGAAATATTCTATTTGTTGTGCAATTGTTCTCGGTTATATAGGGTTTAGCGTCCTACTTACAGCCAATGTCATTTAAGGACGTGCTTCCATATGTGTTATGCATAGGTGCTGGAGGCTGGTGTTTTTATTTTTTGTTGTCACCTTCCCTATTTTCGTTTAAAAGAACGTGGCATTTCGTTGTATACGGCGGGTGCCGTCGACGAAGCAGCGAACGCTTACCCTTTCGGAATTCCTGGTCTTGTTCTCGTTGTACTTAAATCAAGCTTGATTTATTTAACAAGTTCACTGCAAAACAAGTTATATCAACTTGTTTGCCAGGATGGTAGCGCGAATGGAGTCAGGCGCATATATGCTGGCACATGTACGCAGGTGAATCAACCAAATTTTTAAACAAATAACTAAAACACTTTTTCTTGCACTATTTGTCTCCATACCAAGGTTCTGTACTTAACCCGTTCCTAAATGAATCAACCCCAAACAGTGACTTGCTACGCCCTTGGAGTCTTAATGTGAGAGAAAACCGGAGTATTTGAAGATAACCCACGTGAATCGTCACTTTCATTTTGTAAAATTACGGTAAGATATGAACGTACCAGTAAAAGTTATTCATTCTGCGAGAAACGGTTGACAAAAAATATGTAACTCAAGTCTATATTGACACGGTACGCCGTTATAACGGGATACTAATTAAGTCATCATAACGAAAAGCAAGTCGTTATGACTTAGTATCTTTTTATTGTATAGTCTTGCATGACGATAGCTATTCAAAACATGAAAAAGACTACCTTATTTGAAATATGCTTTGACTGAAATCAGTATTTTATACAAGGGGTTACACACGTGGTTGATGTTCAAAATATGTCGACATCACCTATGCTACTATTGTAATGGCTCAAACCGGGTTATACTGGCGGGCGGGGCTACACCATAAAGTTGTGATTCATCCAAATATTGCGAGGTCATTCGCGGTCGACTCGAATGACTGATTCTGCTGTTGTTTATAAGCTGCTACGCATACATCTACTCACATATCAGGTCCTAGGCTCGGTTATAACCGGAACAAGGACGTAAAGCCCCATCAATCAATCAATATACTCACTTACTGCATACTTCCCACCTCTCACAATGGAAAACTGTGGGCAATAAATCACTTGCTACCACAGTCCACTGCACACATAATCCCCTTTCATGGCCAATCATGATTACATGACCATGAAAAGGGGGTGTGCCCAGTGGACTGTGGTCACAAATGCTGTAAGAAAGGGAAGATAATCAATAAGAAGGTAACGATGAAGTCAATACAGTGGAAAGGATAAACTTAATTGACACATTTAAAATATGAAAAATAACAAAAATAAAGTTAAAAATGGTAATTTCATGATTGAAAAACAAACAAACAAAACGACTGAGTTGGCAGCGTTATTGATTTCCTTATCACGTGACAGGATAAGCATTTCCTGGAAAAGTTTATAAACTTTAGGAGCTGTTTCTTTATACAAAATTGTACATTCAAATATAACATTCATTGAAAGAAATGGAATTCCTTAGGGATTGATAAACCCTTACATTGTATGTATGAAAATGGTTTCAATATCCTGTACCTTTGCCACATCTTGAAAATTAAACTGAAAATGTAGTGAGAAATTCAACGTTGTTTCCCGTATTTTGTTCTAATTGTTGAACAGACACTCTTTACCTTCCCTGACGCTGGAGGTGGATAGTAATCCAAAAACACTTGTATCCATTATGAAGGATACACTCAGACTGGGCTATTGAGAATAAAGACAAACTTACCTGGTTCTGATTAGTACTCACTCACACAGGTACATGTAAATTATCTGCAGTGTAGGGTAGGTAAAAAGATTGTCCAGGTGAACATTTTTTACTCAATTTTTCTGTTTTGTTCGAGTTGGGAAGCATGCAGTAAGCCAGTTATTGCATGATTTCTCGTCACTCGGGACTTATTACACCCTCGCTTCGCTCGGGTGGAATAAATCCCTTGTTACTCGAAAACCATGCAATAACCTTTACTTACAGCAATTCTGTGGCGACGTTACACCGCAGACGTCGTCAGTGGAGGCCATCCTTCATTTAGCGTTTTGACCACTTACTCAGTACACTTTCAGGGTGAAGGGTCCAAAGTGGAGATCAATCACTGCGCATCGGTGCTTCGTCTCCAACCAGTAGTGTCAATTTTGTCTCGCCGCACCGAAGTAGTGGAAGCGAAACAAAGGTGTTACTTTTCCGGCGGCGGCGTCAACATTAAGTTTTTGCGTTTAAGTTAGGTTCACTGAAAGTACAAGTGCTAGACCAACACAACTTGGACCATACACGCATCTTAGGGAGAATATCTCAACCCGTGCATCAAATGCTGGATGTAGCCTACCTTTTTATGGTGCATTGACTTTGTCTTTTTTTTTAATTTTAACAAACACATAGTTCATATATTACTTAAATATTAAGACTTATTGTTTTAAAATAATCCCTAAAATACTGAAGCCATAGGTCATATTAATACAGTTGAATTTCACATTCAGTTGTCAACTAATCGGTTTCTTTGGAAGACGTGCCCCTTTTTTTTCGTTTGCCTAAAGCATGCTTTATACTGAAATGCTAGTATCAGACGATCTTTCATAGGCGTACAGATAGCGTTCTGTTTCATTTTTTCGATAATCTGTGTCCGGAAACAATACAGCAGTTTCAACAAAGTTATCATAACACGCTATGTAAAAAGGTATGATACCGTATATTAGTAAATAGTTACCATCGTATAGCACTGCCATTATATAAATCTACCACATTCAAATGGGATTCATCTATGCCATGAATGCCACGAGACAATGATTGAACTCATCATAAGTTGGATATCACTGACCCTCCTTGGACAGACGGCTGTTCTTATAATTGAACGAGCATGTACGATAAATACATTATTTTCACTAAATGCTGAATAATAATAACTGACATTTCTTAATAATAAAGTGAAACAATAAATCAGTTACGGAATTAATTAACTTGAAGGTAAACAAATCAACAAATTCATAGTAACAGGAATGTTTGTTTTTATTTAATTTTAATACGTTAACAATTATAACTGATATCATAAAATCGAAACCTTTGACAAAAACATTTGATTGAAACGACAAACATCACAGTTTCATACATATATCGCCTTGTTTTCTTGAGCACCAAAAACAATGCTACATATATTCCACTCTACATAATTCTGTAAACTTACAAATTTTAGCGGTACCTTATATTTTAGCTTGAACTCCGGATCCTACATATCAGTTCAAGGGATAAACAATGTTTTCACACAAGTTCTGTAAATCAGTTCGTTTTAGAGAGGTGTATATTTTCGTCGTTAATTTTTTTTCCGAATTTATGATTAACCACATTCTCCTACTGTTATCGTTAATTTTTATTTCTCTCAACCACAATGTCGAAATTAAGATTTCGCGAATATTAACCGATTTTATTTTATTCACAGATGAGGCTTCTGCGCGAACTATTTATGATTTTTCATGTGTGTGGTATAAATCTGAATTAAATGCGTATGAACAGATGTGCTGGTCGAGCGAAGGGAGGTAACTCGTAATGTCGACAATATCGTGTATTGAGCAGTGATCAGTCACTGTTGAGAAAGCGATGGTAAGAGGATTTTACGTCAAACGAAAGTTGTAAATATTTTAAGCGTGTACTGTGCCTTTTTCCATTTTGAAATGTATGTATTAACCCTTTCACCCCCAAGTAACTTTAGTAAACTGTACCATGCTTTGATCTGGAAAAGTCCATTATGGTCTACAGTGATGAAAGGGTTAAATGGTACGCTCATTGTTTGTTCGAATCTAAATCCTAATTTGAATTTCGTAAAAACTGTTTTTTGTTAACAAAACCGGAAACAACTTATAGTTTAGTTTGCACTGTATTAGCTTATGACGTGATGAAATTCTTGATCTTAAATGGCTTTTTTCGAAATTTGCTTGATAATGAGACTAATATTATTTTGGTCCACTTTTGTATTATGAGAACCGGATTCGTGGTCTTGTGATTGAGATTGACTTTGTGTGTTTACAGGTTTTATTTACATTAACCACTCCTATCCAAGTCCGATAGAGTTACCTCCCTTCAAATGTCAAAAACGACAAAATAACGATTACTGAAAGTTAGAATTCTCCGTCTAGGATAGAATTTGAAATTGCATTTTTTTCTTAAATATTCTTTGTTATTTTCACATTTCTAAACGTTTTTCTTGTGTTAATTTCACATTTTTAAAGTCTAGTAAAATGTTGATTTACATATCAGTACACCACAAAATAAAGTACTGGTACACCAATAATAGTCTCACACCGAATATTAAGATTGCGTTAAAATTTGTACGTTTTCAGAGTAGCTAATATAATATAATATGTACAAACATGAAACACATCAACATTTTGTTATATTTTCATAAGGCTACAAGTTGTGTTTCATTCATATATTTTTGCTTTTTACATACATATATACATGTAATTACATCTTAATTTGCCAACATCTCCGGAAACCTTAAAGATCATTCTCACCATAAAAACGTCTAGTGAGCGTTTTCCTTGGTTACATGAAAAACAATTATTGTACTGTACATAATTCCTAAAATGTGACACAGACTTCTACAAAATGTTATTTGAATTGAGGAAACCGGTCCCACTGGTGAAAAGCACTGGAGAATTCCACTTAGTTTTCCACACCTACATATGTACAGTAGCCTCACTTCATTTACTTAATTATAACTGTAGTGAAACGTTAACTTCGCAAGAGATTCTTTCTAATGTATTAAAGTTATTTTCAAGCAAGTATAAAGGCTTTCTACTGCATAGTGACATAATTAGCAGGTCCATGTAAACAACAAAAATCTCAACATGTTACTGTTCCAGCAAAAAAAAATGGCGCTTTGACAGTTTTACTGGTACATTAGGACAGACGAATATTTGATAAGTAAGATAGTGAGAACAAAAAGGGGGTGAGCTGGTAGGGGATTGAAATGTATTGGTGGTAAATGATGTGCCAAATTAACAACGGCATTATGAACAAGTTTTGTTGCATATGGTCATACCAAAACTGTTCCATACAGTCGTTCTCCCTTCATGTGAAAGGATGTACATTGTAGCAACCCGTTTCAATTTTATTCGAACTATATTCTCTCAAATCTCGAATAATTCTACAAATAAATAAGTTCAAGCGCAGATGTGCTGTAACGTAATACGTAATATACAGGTTTACAGGTAGTATCTTTGTGTGACCTATTGCACCGTATACAGGCGGTAGTTGTTTGTGACCTAATACGCAGTTTGTAGTTGTGTGTGACGTAATACACAGGTAAACAGGCAGTAGTTGTGTGTGACGTAATAAGTAATATACAGGTTTACAGGTAGTATCTTTGCGTGACCTTTTGCACCGTATACAGGCGGTAGTTGTGTGTGACCTAATACGCAGTTTGTAGTTGTGTGTGACATAATACACAGGTATACAGGCAGTAGTTGTGTGTGACGTGACATAATACTCAGGTTTACATTCGGTTGTTTTGTGTGACCTTATACACAGGTATACAGGCAGTAGTTGTGTGTGACCTAATAAACAAGTTGTAGTTTTGTGTAACGTATAACATTGTCCACAGGTATACAGGCGGACGTTGTTCGTGACGTAATGTATAAGTATACAGGCGGAAGGTGTTTGTGACGTAATATACAAGTATATAAGCGATTGATTTGTGAGCCCTTATACACAGGTATACATGCGGTAGTTATTTGTGACGTAATACACAAGTATACAAGCGGTAGTTGTGTGTGACGTCATGCACCGGTATACAGACTGGAGTTGTGTATGACGTAATACACAGGTATGCAGGTGGTAGTCGTGTGGGACGTTTTACACAGGTATACAGGCAGTAGTTGTGTGTGACGTAATACACAGATATACAGGCAGTAGCTGTGTGTGACGTAAAACACAGGTATACAGGCAGTAGCTGTGTGTGACGTAATACACAGATATACAGGCAGTAGTTGTGTGTGTACGTAATACACAGGTATACAGGCGGTAGTTGGTGCTTTTCACACTATCATATAGGCGGTAGTTGTATATGACTTCTTGACTTAATCTTGTCCGGTTTAGACAGGTGAAGGGATTGTAACCATTTTTCACATTTGTCTTGGCTGCACTCTGTCGAAGGATCTCCGGTGATGATGCTTGGACCAAGGTAGTTGAGCTGTGCAGATAATTTTCTATGCCCTCCAAAACTCGTAACCTCAGTCCCGTCCCCCCGGGCCACGCCCGGTTTTAGTGGACTAGCAGTGACCGTCGTTGACGACGCGTGTTCATGCCTCTTTGCCATGTCTTCTGTGAAAGGCACGTGCGTTAAGTTATTTCTGGATTCACTGTGAACACCGTTTCGACTGTCATTCTGGCTATCGGCAGATGAGTCACGACTGAGGGAAGGGCGAGAGAGATGCGGTCTATGTAACAGCCGAGGCGTTGACACGGGCGAAGATCCCTGAACAGGAGTCGAAGGCGAATCTCTTTGTGAATGCACACTCCGGCGACTTTGGGGCGTCGAGGGTGGCGTTGGTGTTGCGGAGCCGGGCATGCCATTTTGGTCAAATTGAAAATGTCTACGCATCAGCGGCACGGGACTTTGAGGGCTAAGTTTGTTTACAAGTCGTGCGGAGTCATCTGCTGTCGACTCAAATGATTGCATTTGACCCTTGTTTAAGTTCAGTTCGTCGAGAAGTTGTGGGCAAGACCGGTACCTTGATAGCGACACATTCGATCCTCTCCTCCGAATGTCATGGATGGCGTTTTCATCTTCATCGTCGTTCAAAAGCTCGATGAACATCTTACTTTGATCAACTTTACCTACGTTCAAAGTGTTCATTTTGTAGAATTATTTGTCACACACTTGTATTATATTTCACAACAACTCACTTCAATGATTTCTTGTATCAAACAAGACACCGTGCACTTATGTATCGAACACGCATAGCATAATCAAATTACCTTATAGAAAACATTGAAAGTAGCTATTAAGCTACTCGGGATGCAAGTATTCCAATCCAGATATTGAAACAGGTAAAAGAAAAATGTAAGTGTTCGACTTGTGTGTTATACAAGGATTAATAATTACGCCCTCCACTGCAAATATTTCATTAAAGAGCTTGATCTACCAGACGCTTGTCACCTCCACGAGTACGGTCCAATGGACACAACTTCTCTAGCACGAGTGTACATGTATGATAACGTAATCGCTTTGTTACTTCCACGTGTGTCGGTCCTGTGGATGTTTGTCACGGGCATGCATTTCACCAAGACTACTAGTCCTATGAATGTTTGTCATAAGCACGTATTCGATCAAGAGTGTTGCACAAATACACATAAGATTATTGGTCCTGTAGACGTTTGTCACATACACGTATTCCAACAAAGAGTATTGGTCATATAGACGTTTGTCACACAGACGTATATTCCACCAATGTTATTGGTCCCGTAGACGTTTGTTACATACACGTATTTCACTAAGAAGATTGGTCCTATAGATGTTTGTCACATACACGTATCTCACCAAATCTATTGGTCATGTAGGCGCTTGGTCTATAAGACCCAAGTCACTTCCACATTTATATTCGCGTAACTGTGAGCGATCTGGGTCACTATATGGATCGAAATCAGTCAAATATACCGTTCAGTTTATGTGTCCTGGACTAATAAGCAAAATCAACAGATATCCTACACTGGTCGTACACGAACCAAATACTGAGTTTGATTTCAATAGAATATCATGTTTACCTTGTTAACTATTGTCGCAATTAATTCCGGTTTACTCTTCTCCCGCAATCATTTATACGTTTTCTAATACTGCTATTAATCGCTTCTCAGTTTCCCGGAAGTCACCGTTTGCAATCATATATGCCAAGGCTCGTGGGGAATCGCTTATGACGACCGCTCAATATGTCGTGATGGATCTGTAATGAGAAAAGAACTCACGTTATCTATAATGATGTGTAAATAGTGTGAAGATAATCCACATATTAGTGACGGTAAATGAAATTACAACACTGTAATATCGGGTTTGTACCTGGTAATAATGAGGCTAACACGATATACCGACAAATAGACCATAGGCCTCGCAGATCCATAGTTACAGTTTCGCACATCTCTTCCTAAACCACTGATTTCGTACATATTATCACACGACATAACAGCACCATCCGCATGGTAAGTTCGTATTAAGGACAACTTTGGGTAATATGAAATAATGGTGACGTTTCCATATGATAGGCCTCATATGCTGAAACACATCAGAACAACGTTTGTACACAATGTACTTGGCTAGGGAAGATTTATCTCATCATTTACATTGAACTATTTAAAAAGGAATTTTTGTTAATTACACGTATATATATTTAAATCAAACTTTACTTATTTTACAACAATTGCAAAACGAGTTATATCAACTTTAATTAAGCACTCTTGTTAGTCCGGATCGTAGCGCGCAGGGGTCTTAATGTAGGAGAAAACCTTAACTTACATGGAGAAAACGCACGTGGTCGGTCGGGTTACATCATACCTTTTCACGTCCGATCGGGGAATCAAACCCCGACCGTCTCAATGAAAGGCGAGTTTGCTAACCATTGCGCCAGTCGACCACCCATTATTATACAATGTTACATGTATTGTTGTGCTAGCAAAATCCACTTACAAATTCTTTTTCTGCATTCAAATACTTACATTTTGGTTACTTCACAGAACACGTCATTTTCATTCATATCGTTTTTCAAGTTACTATTTATAACTTTATTTAGAAATATTTATCAAATCACCACTACGTATCTGCTGTCAGTGTAAAGCGTAATGCATATTTCATAAGGAAGAAGACGTCTTATAAGTTACACACGTCGTATATGCACGGCCAGACTAGGGTTCGAACCCGGGACACTCCGAACTCTAGACAAACGCTCTACCAATTGAGCTACCCGTGGTCGCCGACGATCGACCCAGTCCAGTTCCGCTACATTCTTCCCTCGCTACCGAAGACTCAACTATTTACAACCCAAGTTCGGGTATCCCCTTGTCAAGCATTCACCAAATGCTTGAAAAAGGGTTGGCAAGATCGTCAGTTTTGGAACAGGAGCGGAAAAATGCACGGCCAGACCGAGGTACGAACCAGGGACCGTCCGAACTCTTTGTATGCTGAAGTTACATATATATCCAAAATGGAATCAATGGGAGGTTACTCTATGTACGAATAACTACACCGGAACTATGTAGTGTTTTGCCTACAGTGGTACATGTATCCTTAAGGAACTTAAAGACACATTGGTTGTTCTTCGAGGGAGTGGTGTGAATTTGCTTTTGGTATTTCTTCGGGACATCGTCCCTTTAAGGGGTTCCAATGATAGCAAACAATCTTCATACAGCCGATTTACATTTTCCATATCAAATTCATATTACTCGGTTGGTACCTCCCGGGAGCGAAATCGCTCTCTATAAAGTCTGAATACAAAATCGATGCGATAGGCGCCATCGTAGATCTAGTGATGCACTCGATTACTACAATACAATTGTGTTCTGATATCCCGTATGATACACAAAGGCACGTGTCGTCAATCTACCATTTGGATATACGTCATTGCTCAATATATGAAATGAAGGCTCCAGGGGAGATTTGTCTCGAACCTGCATATCATATAACAAGCGTGTACCACTGCATACTAGCATAGTGCGATTGATGTGTCTCTGAAGAACGGAGACCCCAAAGATATTAAAATTGACCTGCTGCCCCCATTGCAACATTCGGGATCTATAGCTTTTCTGTTTTTTCCCTTTTTGGTGCCGTTTCTTTAGGTAGTCTTGGTTAGCGTGTTGCTATGGTTACCTGGTTGTGTGGAGTGCCGGGATACCTTGTCTAAATTGATTGCAATGGATACGTCATTAAATAGCTTAAGACGTATATCAATAGAATAATGTAAACTTTGTTTATTTTACAACAACTACGGAACAGGTCTTTTCAACTTATATTAATCATTCTTGTTTGTCCAGGTGGAAGCAGGCAGAGGGTCTTAATATGGGAGGAAACCGGGATACCCGGAGAAGACCCACATTGGTACAAAACGCGAGAGGCTTGCATGCTTTTAAAATATGAGAACTAGGCTAGTTACGTAGGTACAATCTCACCACACAGGTCAAACGCAACCAATTAAACTACATACAAGACCGCAGATAAATATCCGAAAACAACCGGTGTCATGATAATTTAACCTTAAAAACTCGAAATTTGTGTATGCCATTTACAATTAAATTAGGTATCGCACTACTATAGACTTAACATGTAGAAATAGGATAAAAATAATATTCTAACAATCCTGTAGCTGTCATTAGTTATTTAATAGCCATTCATGCAACTGAGAAATAAATCGATAAATACACAATTCATGTTTATTTATAAAATAGAACTATTTGAACATGCTTTGACAAATACAAATGTAGGTTCTGTCATATTTGTATTTGCTTATACAAATGAACGCCAATCACGTAGCACAAAAGACATAAGAATTAATTTCGAATCATGTTTCATGTATAAGCGGAAGTCACGTTTGCTCTGGAGAATAATGTCCGCTTAGCTAACTTCCGGTCCCGCTTTACCTTCGTTTAACCTCTTTATAAATCTCTGTCGGTGATCATTATATCTTGACATAACTTTGTTTGTTATTGCATAAAGACCGACATGTACTTCCTGTTGCGTGTCATTCAAGCTGTTTTGAGACAACACTTACCATTTGATTCATAACTGAGTATGTTTTTTTTACGTGTCGACAGACTTCCGGTTGATCTTTTAACCTATTTGAGACAAAACCGATAATTAATTTATATCTTGGTCTGTGTTTGCATAGCTAACGACGTCCAGTTAAGCAATATCTAATTTAGTTTTTAAAGAACATAAGAATACTCTGATCTAGACTCTTGTGTTTGATTTTGCACAAGGGCTGACTTCCTGTAACGATTGATGTAACCTCTTTTGATACAGTACCGAGCATATACTGTTCCTTCATATTGTTTGTATTGCACGTGTTATAGACCGACCCATACCGTCTGGTGCTCGCCATTTCTGTTTTACTTCCGGTTCAACACATAACAGAAAAGAATACGCTTCAATTATACATGATTTGTTTTATTTCTAATAATTTTGATGTTTTATTAATTTTTTAACGTGTATCTTGTAGTTCATGATAATTTATTTTGATAAAATGACAATTTCCTTGCCTACACAGCATTAATCCTCGACCAATATCAACCCTCGGGCCTCCGGTTCCTCGGATTTTATAAACATCTCGGGTTTATACCGAGTCAGCCGGTAAGCGCAACAAGGAAAGATTACCTTTTATTTCGACTTTGGGTATTTTTTTAAATCAGATTCCTTTTTTTAAAGGATTTATGTATGCATGGACGTGCGTGGGCTTATGATTTAATTAAGGATATTCCCAAATCACAAATCGTTTTCACATTCTGCAGTTACTTTGGTACATAGATAAAAAAAAGAAAAATAAGCAGTCTGAGATAGTCATATTACAGATAATAACGTTGATTTTTTTAAGATAAAGATCATACATTTATAAGATTAATAAAACAACTTCTTTGTTATATTTTGCAAAACTATACTTTTGTATAAAATAATAACATCTGTTTCAACAACAAATTAATTTAAAATAAAAAAAACAACCTGATATGATTTCCAAGCAAACATAAAGATATTTGATATCAATATACCGGGAATCAGAAAAAAGACGATTGAATTTTCAAATTTTATTCTGATTTATTTGAAGATTTGGTGACGTCATCAAACTGTTATATATATATCACGTGCATTAATCTTCGTCTTTTCGCCTCGAAGAGACGAGATTTAGTAATTATTAAAAGTCTCGTTATTTTGTCTATCCGGGGAGAAAGGACGAAAGTCGTCTTCTGAGATTATTATAGTAATTCCCTACCTTATATACGGTGCGACGGAACTTTATCCCACCCTTCACAGGCGTGTCTCCCGTGTTATCCGGGAAAGATCAGCTTGTCAACCCATATGGGAGAGAGCCTCGTGCCGATTAGCACGTGTTCAATAGTGACGTCTTTAAAACGCGTCACCCGTAATTGTGACGTCATTAAAAGTGAATGACGATATTCATATCCCACATGTGTTTTGTTTACACTACTGTCGGTGGAGTTGTGACTAACATAAAAGGATGAGAGAAAAATAATTATCCCCTACCTTAATGGTGTAACAGAGAAATCTCGAACCCTCGGTGTAATTCTTTTAGTTGTCTAACCCTCGGTTAGCCTCGGATTAGACAACCAAAAAACATTACCCCCCGGGTTGGAGATTTCTCTGTCACACCCTCAGGGTAGGGGAAATTCATATAAATCTCCTACCCTTCACAGGCGTGTCTCCCGTTTAAGCCGGGAAAGATCAGCTTGTAATCCCTTAGGGGGAGATAGCATCGTGCCGTTTAACACGTGTTAAATTGTGACGTCATTAAAATACAGCATCGGTAATTGTGACGTCGTCAAAAGCGAATGAAGATATTCATACACCACATGTGTTTTTGTTTACAAACACGGCAGATTACTGTCGGTGGAGTTGTGACTGACAAAAAATTGATGGGAGAAAAATAATCATCCCCTACCTTGAGGGTGTAACAGAGAAACCTCCAACCCTCGGGGTTTGAGATTTCTTTGTCACATCCTCAAGGTAGGGGAAGATTTTATTAATCTCTAACCAGAGGAGTGAACGTTTTGGTCGCCTTACCCGAGGGTCTGCCGACACTTCTTTTATAATACAATTGTCCGTGATATGGGTTATTTTGCATGTGAGATACTTCTAGCTGTGCATAGGCCATATCTTAGACACAGCAATATCCGTCTGCACGCGTCATATCCGTCCGGAACGCGACATAACTGTCCAGTTTGCGCCAAG